CTGCCTACGAGAGATGTTAAACCAATTCTGGGACACCCTGTATATATATATATTTATTTTGGACTCGCCAAAAAAAAAAAAAACAAAAAACAAAAAACTGCTTTCAAAACACAGTCTCGTTTCTGTCGAGTATAGTTCAATGATACCGCTCGTAGCGTAGATTTTTTTTCTCTTTCGACAAGAAGGAGCGGTTGTACAGGTTATTTAATTTCTTTGGTAGTTGTGCGATACACACAACCACACACAGACGTGACGTATTTCGTACTTGACCTAATTTCGCCCTGTTCACGCCGACTTTAACGTTTACCCTGAAAATAGCGCGCTCGATTAAAATAGGAAAAGTGAACGAGGGAGTGATAACTCAATATCTCGAGTTACTATTATTATGTTCGCCGGATATACAAAGGGTGTACGTTTCCATTGCCTCTTGTAGCGTTCCCGTTCTTTTGCTATTTGATGCGACGCTTTTACCGAGAGAACAGCAACGAAAAAAAACCGTTTCCAAAACCAATTCTTTCTCAAAAATAAAAGGTATCACCGTAAAATACAAGACATTATATAGTCATAAATATTTGCTCATATTTACTTACGAGTAAAACGATTTATTTGCATCCCGATTCCGCGTCGGCATGCGTCGCGTCGCGATGTTAATTATCTGTGTAATTTATTTATTTCACAATTTTTTTTGTGTTTTAATTTACTTTCAAATTTCGAAGTTTTGATATTTAATTATTGTTATGAAGCATTTGATTTCACTGTAAAACTCTCGACTGTGATTAAGAACAGGGAAGGTGGGACTTGATTTATGAGTCACGATCTCGAGACCTTAATTATTAACACACTTAATTGCCAGTGTGATTTTTGTTTGTTCCGTTGCGATAACGTCATTGCACTTATCTATTCCAGAGTTTTCGAATATTTTTGTTTTGCATATGTGCGTTAATATTTTTGCGATACTTATTAGAAATTATTAAAACAACACAACAAGCATCCGCAAATCACAACAAATACAACCACGTAATGATGTAATAATCTCGAACTGTCAAAATGCGACGCAAATAGCCGAAAATCAATTAGCGGCATCGAGTAAAAGCGGCAAACACAATAAACACACGCCGAGGCATACAAATCGAGAAAATCAACTTCGATTCTTAACGCACGCAATTTTCAACTGTACGACGTGACAGCTTGATTTCCAGTTCGCGTTCTGAAACGGCAATTGTGATCAATCTTGCGGTGTTTTTTTCCGCATCAACTCTCTTAATAAAATTTCTCGCGTTTCCCCATCGCAGTGTTGTTTTTCGTGGCAATCGATCTCGCGAGTTCAGGGTTGCGTTGTATTTTATTTATTTTTTTTTTTTTTCATTTCCGCGAGAAAATTCGCAGCCGTGTTCAAGGAGTTTTCTCAATTACTTTCTAATAAGGGCTCGGTGATTTTGTCGCGGACAAAAAAAGGTGGACGAGATATCCAAGAGCAATGTACACACGTAGCTATTATCCCGTGAAAACTCGTACGCATTGCACGCGAAAGCTTGTCGGACTTTATTAACCGTAGTATCGAATCGATTAACGATATTAATGTGCTAATGCACATAAGCGACACGGGGGAAATAAGCGCGAGCGTATATGAAAATTTATGCAGTTTGTCTCGGAGGTCTCGCGCGCGCGCGCGCATCCTTCCTTTCATACGCGAAATTTAATGCGATCTGCGAACGACCCTTTGAATTTAAAAATTCCATTAAAATAGAAAACTGGCTGAACTCTCGAATAAAGACTGAATTTTTCCACTGTGTTTGCATTTCCGCGGATCGTGATATTTTTTTTTTTTTTTTATCCGCAATTACTAAAAACCGCACAATTGGATATTTCTGTTTATTCACACAAAAAAGAAATTACGATCGTAACCGCTTGACTCACGTGTTTTAATATTTTTATTTTATGTGTTTATTTTTAAGTACATTATGTTTTTTGCGATAAATTATATATTAAATATATTGGAATATATCAATGCGCGTCGGTTGTTTTTTAAGGTG